GTGTTTTCCTCTGTCACAACCCCCAGGACACCCCTCAGCCTCACCCCCAGGACAGAGGGGCCACCTCAGCAAGGTCTCCCAGGTGTCACTGACCCTCTGCCACTGGTGAAGCAGCAGCAGGTCCCCCGTGCTGGAGGGGGGATCCCAGGGCCGAAACCTCCAGCTCAGCTCCAGCTCCTGAGCTTCTCAGGAGAGGAATCCTGGGCACAGCCTTGAGGGGCTGTGGGGGCAGGGGCTGTGGCTGGCTCCTCGCTGAGCCCAGGCCCGTGGCTGTGTGTCCTCAGGATGCCATCGATGACAAGCTGGACACCAAGCACTACCCGTACATCTCCACCCGCTCCTCCGCCTCCTTCAGCACCACTGCCGTCAGGTGGGTGCCCCTCCTCCCTGTCCTTCCCCAGCTGCATCACCGGCAGCAGCCACCCCACATCAGCCCCAGGGGCTGCATCCAGGTCTGGGAGCTGCTCAGGCATCCCGTGCCTCAGTTTCCCTTCAGGCACTCTGTAGCTCAGTTTTTCTTTAGGCATCCTGTGCCTCAGTTTCCCTACGGATAGCCTGTGTCTCAGGGAACCCGTGCCTTCATTTCCCTTCAGGCATCCCATTCCTCAGTTTCCCTTCAGGTATTCTGTGCCTCCGTTTCCCTTTAGGGAAGATGCCTCAGTTTCCCTTTAGGCACCCCACGCCTCACCTTTCCTTCATGCACCCCGTGCTGCTTTTTAGCCCATGGCATCCTGTGCCTCAGTTTCCCTCCAGGCATCCTGTGCTTCTATTCCTCTGTAGGAATCCCGTGCCTCAGTTTCCCTTTAGGAATCCCATTCCTCATTTTCCCTTCGGACACCTGATGCCTCAGTTTCCCTCCAGGCATCCCGTGCCTCAGTTTCCCTCTCTGCAGCAGCGAGCAGCGCTCATGGCTGGAACACTGAGCGCTGGTCTTGACGTGCTGTAGCGGCGATGTCTGTGTGATTTCACTGAGATGTAGCGCCCCGTGCCCGTCCTTCACCCTCCTCTTCCTCTCCTCAGTGCCCGCTACGGCCACTGGCACAAGAACAAGGCCCCCGGCGAGTACCGGAGCGGCCCCCGCCTCATCATCTTCATCCTGGGCGGGGTGAGCATGAACGAGATGCGCTGCGCCTACGAGGTGACACAAGCCAGCGGCAAGTGGGAGGTGTTAATAGGTGAGTGCTGGCCCCGGGGCTGGCCCCTGCCGCTGCCTGCTCATCCCACGCTCCATCCCGCAAATCCCGGCAGCTGGAACTCTGCGGAAAGGTTTTCTCCGGACATCTGTGGTCACCCCCCGTGTGTGTCCTCCTTCCCCGTGTTGTGTCACTCCAGACATCCTCATTTCTCATTTTTTCGTGTCTCCTGGCTGGTTTTGGCCGAGCAGGGCTGGGTGAGAGGGGAGGAGGTTTGGCAGCTCGGGTTGCTCCTCGGTTTTGAGGTCATTACAGGAAGAAAAGCGCAAAATAAAGAGGGATGCAAACAGGAACCAGGTTTTTCTGTTGTCAGGGTCAGCTCCCATCTCTGCTCCTTGAGTCTGGCACAGATGAAACTCTACCAGGTGTTAGCAAGGAGCTGTTGGGTCCCTAAAATTCCTCTGGGAAGCACAGTTTGGATACACACCTTGTAGGGCACAGGCAGGCATCCTTTACCATCCCATCTGATGCCTGGTGGAGCCTGTCCCCAGCATCTCCTCTTCTTCCCAGTCTCCATCACCTCCTGCTGTGTCCCTGTCACCGGACACCCATCCCAGCTCCATCCTGCCTGTCACCCATCTCATCCCGCCTCTCCCCGGCATCCCTGCATGCGCCTCCGGAGCTCCGGCCTTCACCAGCCTCCTTCCTCTTCCTCCCCCCCTAAAGCAGCTGGTGGTGGTGGTGGTGGCGTGGGGGAGCCTCGGCGCAGCCGTCAGCCCCGCTCTGTTCTCCTGCAGGTTCTACTCACATTCTCACTCCCACCAAATTTCTCATGGACCTGAGGCACCCCGACTTCAGGGACTCCACTAGGGTATCATTTGAGGATCAGGCTCCAGCAATGGAGTGAGCCAAAGAAACCAAGTAAAGGCAGCTTACTAATGAAAAAGAAACTCTTCCTCCCTGAAGGGTTTTCTTTGATTCTTCCGTTCCTCCTTTTTTTTTAATCCTTGTGTTGGGGTTTGTCGGGTTCTCCGATTAGAAAATGCTTGCGGTTCCTCCGAGCAGGTGGAAAAGCATCCGGCGTCGCTCCATCATCCCTCAGCCATGTCCCCTGGCCGGCTCCTTCATGCCACGAGCTCCCCCTCGCCAGGGCCGGAGGGGTCAGGGTCCTGCCTGCCCCACGCAGGTGTCCCAGGGCCGGGCAGGGGGACAGAGCTCCCGGGTTCTGCCCCGGCAGCGGCTGGAGCGGGGCTGGGGGAGAGGGGCAGCACTGGAGACCCCCAAACTCTGCTGTCCATCCCTGCAGGCTGGGCACTGCTGGGACCCCCCAGCTCCGGGGTGCCCAGGGGCTGGAACCCCGCTCAGCTCAGGTTTGCTCTTGGATAGGCAGGAGCCTCCTGACGTTGCAGACTCCCAATCCCCGCTCTGGGGTTCAGCTCCTGCTGGTTTCACCAGTGAGTGCCACCCTGGTCTGGTCCCTGCAGTGCCAGGGTGGCTGTGGGGCTTAGCCAGCGTGGTGGGAGCCCCTCTGGCACCGTGCTGGGGGACCCCCGAGCGAGGGGCAGCAGAAGGCAAGAGCCCTTTTTTTGTCCTTGTCCTCTCCCAGCCCTTCCAGCCACCTCTCTGTCCCCAGGATGCTCCGTGCAGCTTGGGGGGCCTGGGGAAGGCCCCTCCACGTCAGCTGTTCCCTGCCTCTCCCACCCTGCACCCACCCGTGCCTCCTGCACCCCCGTGGGTCCCGCTGTGACCCCAGTGCTGCAGCCCCGCTCCCGGCCCCTGCCTCATCCCTCCGGCTCCATCCCTCACCTCCATTCCTCCTCCTCTGTCCTTTTCCCGTTCTCCATGCCCCCACAGCCCCCCTCCCCGACCCCACAGACTGCATTTCCTCGCAAGCATTTCCAGCGGCGCGGGGCCGGCGCCGCCAGGTAAGGGGGACCCGGGGCAGTGGGGACAGCGGAGGGGTCCCAGAGCCATCACTGATCCCCTTGCACCCCTTCTCCTCTCCTCCCACAGGGTCCACGCACATCCTCACCCCACAGAAACTGCTGGACACGCTGAAGAAACTCAATAAAACAGAGGAAGAGAGCAGCAGTTAAAAGGAAACGCTGTCACCACTCGATGCCGACCCACGTCCCCGCCGGGCGCCCAGCCCCGGGTGCCACGCTGCACCCAGTGGGCCCAGCTTCTCTCTTGTTCTTGTGTTGACCCCCCCTTTCCCCTCCCAGCGCCTCCCCCATCTCATTTTATCCACAGGGAGGGGATAACAGCCAAAAAAAAAAAATAATATATATATATATATATTAAGAAAATGGATGCATTGTGTTTAAGAGAAAAAGGAAAAAAAAAAATATCTATATATTTGTAGCTGCAGCTGTGGGAAGCGCCCAGGAGCTCATTGCTGAGTCACCATCTGCCCATTGCTAGTGAACATGGTGGGGAAAATGACAGAAAACCACAATTTTTTTGGGGAATGCTCCTCACTGGGGTCTTGTGTGGACGGGAGGACAGATGGACGGACACCCCACACCGCTGCTCAGGCGGGCACCGGGCTGGCACCACCACCTGTCCCATGGCTTTTGGGGTGGTGGGTGCTCCTGCCAGATGTGCATGCCAACGTCTGGATGGGAATTTGGGACAGGGGTGGTGTGGGAGTGCAGCCAGGACGCTTCACACCGTGGTAATTCCCATGTGAAAAGGGACCAAACCGGTCAAAACTGGGAGCTGGGGCCCGTCCCAGGGCTTGCACAGCCCTGCTGCAGCCCCACCTCCCTCTCTGGGAATTCCTTAAAAAAAAATAAAAATACATATATATATATAAAATAACAAGCTATTTTATATATATATATGTATCTGTGCTATCTCTCCATGGATACCTCTCTCCATCCATCCCCACGGAAGCTCGGTGCCCGTGCCCAGCTCCGCTCGTGTCGTCCCATGGTGAAGCGTTTCTGAGCGTGCCGTCGCCCTGAGGCCCCCCCAAAAAACCCTCTGGGCCCTCCCCAAAAACCCTCTGGGGCCCCCCAAACCCTCCAGGCCCCCCCAAACCCTCTGGACTCTGTGTATATTAATGACTGTGTCTTGTGACGTTCTTACGAGCTTGGTGTATAGTGATTTCCCCAAACCTCCGATTTTAGTTGGGTTTTTATTTGACACCCCTGGATTGCCCCCTCTCCCTTGCCATTAGATGCACTGCAATATTTTGGGGTCTATGGTTTTGTTCTCTTCCCCCTGAAGGCTGTGGCCCCCTTTTTCCTTCCCTAAAATTGCTCTTTCTTGCCTTGTTGGTGGTTAGCCCCCTCCCTTTTCCCTTCCCTTCCCGTCTGCTCCTTGCCCATAAAGTTAAATATATATTTTTAGGGCAAAGGCTGTATCATTGCACTGATATTTGTTGGTTCCCCCTCAGTCTCCCAGCCCGTTTCTGTTCCTCCTTGGTTTAGCAATGCAAATGCTTCAGGATCTTGTATGTTGGACATTATTATTATTATTATTTTTTCTGTTACAGTTATTTATATAAAAAATAATTTATCGAAAAGGAAAACTTTAAAAAAAAAAAATAATCTAGTCTGTCTTGGAACTTGTTTACCTTGAAATTACTGGAATCTAAATGTTTGAAAGTGTTGAAGCACAAACATGTATCATCTCTGTATATCTGTTCTTCTGTACTAAAGCACTCGAGTGACTAAATAAAAGCGATCTCCATCCCTAGTGCAACTGGGGCTGTGCTGTGCTGCTCCCTCAGGGCCAGGAAAACAGGGAAAAGGCATGGGAAAATATTCCATCCAACCCCAGGGGAGTGGTGATGCCAAACCTCCCCCTAGGAGTGGCTTTGGGAAGGAAAAATCAGCACACGAGTCATGGAACCGCGTTTATTTCCTTCAAAAATAGGCGATTTCTTCGTACAAAATACCACCCCAGTGGCTCTGCTGGGCGTTAAAAAATAGGGGACAAGGAAAAGAAAAACATCATTTGGTCCTGGCTACTGCATTTGGGATAATTACCCAAATTTTCTACAGGTTCCCATCTGGGGGGGAGTCACAGCTTCCAGCTTGGGGCGTGGACATGTGCAGAGGAAACTGGAGACACAGAAAACCTCTTTTAAAATCCCCCAAACCTCTTTAAAAATCCCCCAAACCGCTTCAAAATCCCCCAAACCCAGCCCTCTCACCCCAAAAAAGGAGGGGACAGCCCCATTCCCAACCCCTCTGGGCTCATCAGGCTCAGGGGGAGCTTGGAAGGCTCCAGACCTGAGTCACTGATGCCTCCCTCCAAAATGTGGGTATTTGTACACCAAATAAAAACAAAAATAAATACATTTGACACTGGCACTTCAGGTAGGTCCTACAAATAAACACAGGCTGAGGTGCTGGGGGTGGAGCAGGGGGTTTGGCTGGACCCATCCCAGGAAGAGCTGCCCCAAGCACATCCTTTTCCCAAAAAAAATCAGCTTTAACTCCTTAGAAACCCAGCTGGGAGGAACAGGGACACCACAGACCCCGCACCCACTTCGGTCTCAGGTGACTTCTCCTTTACCAGCCCAGATTTCCTGAGGATCCCGGAGGGAAAACCTCAAATCCTTCATTTTATTTTCTGCCTGGATGATGCTGTGGATGGCCAGAAAAACCCCTCAAATGCCCTAAGGGTTGTGCTGGAAGTGCAAACCAGTACATTTATATATATATGTATCTGTAGAAGGATATATCTATAGAATCAGATACAGATCTGTACGTACACAGATCTATCTATATCTGTCTCTCTAGATATATAACCAGAGATATGTTTATATCTAGATATATCCATTTATAGATACACATATATCACACACACTATAGCTCATCAATCAACACTCAAAAGAGTGATTTAGCTGCTTACTAGCTAAAAAATTCACATAAAAAAACACCAAAAATATAAGTTTCCACAGGGAGGATCCTGCTGGGTTCAAGTCCAAGGGCACAGGGCACAGCCCCCTGAGGAGGCCTAAAGGCTGGGAAAGGGGTGGAATAGGGAATCCCAGGAGATCCCAGGGAATCCCCGGGAATCCCAGGAGATCCCAGGGAATCCCAGGAGATCCCAGGGAATCCCAGGGATACCAGGGGATCCCAGGGAATCCCAGGAGATCCCAGGTATTTCTGCCCACACAGGCACAGAGGTAAAAACAGCTGCCAAGGGAGCTCGACCCACACGAGGTCAGAGCATCCCCAGAAGTGCTCAGGGTGGGGTGGTCACAGGGCCACCCCGGAGGTGCCAGGGGATGGTGCTGGGGAATTCTGGAGACTTCTGCCCACGCCTTCCTCCCTCCTGCAGCTTGGGGGGCTCCAGAAAACGGACAGACGGATGGACAAGCCGTGCATGGAGAGTGGCGAGGAGCCCTCAGAGCCACCTCCAGGAGCCACCTCCAGGAGCCACCTCCAGGAGCCACCTCCAGCCCTGCTGCCCCCAGATTTGGCAGGGGTGACGCTGAGGGGCCCATCCTCCTCCTCCTGTCGCTCATGGGGGTTGGGAGGTGCCAGGGGGCCCCTCAGAAGAGGCAGGAGCCGCGCAGGCCCCGCGCCCGGCCCAGCTCGGCGGCCAGGGCCCGGCTGACGCGGCTGGTGCTCAGCCTGACGCTCTGGGCAGCCTCCACAGCCCGGCTCAGCGAGCGGCTCAGCTCCTCCAGCTCCTCCAGCTCCAGCCTCAGGCAGCGGGGGCGGCCCTGGGGCCGGGGGGGACGCTCTGCAGTGACCCCGAGGGGGACCCCGGCCAGGGCTGGGGCTGAGGTAGGAACTGCTGGGGAGCAGTAGCTGGGAAGGAGAAGGGACACGGGCTCAGTGTTGCTGAGTGCCCCCCACTCCACCTTATTTCCATGCCCACCCCACAGCACCATCCCCTAAACACAGCTCCCCCCTCCCCAGAGGAGCCGGTGGCCGTGTCACCCCATTGCCACCGGCAAACCAGCGGATCCCTGGGGTGGGGACAGCCCCTCCTGGGTTCCCCCTCCACCCCTGGGGGATGCTGATGTTCCCTGAGCCCCCTCCCAGCCCCAGGGCATCCTTACAGCACGGAGGGCACGTAAGGCACGAGGGGGACGGGTGCCAGGCAGACGGTGGCGGTGGTGGCAGCAGGGGTGGCTGCCAAGTACCAAATTCCCGGTTGCTCCAGCTTCTCATCTCCAGCGTGGGTGGGACAGGAGCCACCATGGCCACGCTCTGCTGCGGGGAGGAAGGTGGTCAGGTGTCCCCAGGGGGGTTAGGTGTCCCCAGGGGTTGTGCCAGCTCCAGGTGACATCACCCCCTGTGCCACAGCTGGGTGGGAACAGTCCCCTGGCATTGTCAGGGGGCTGAGGTTGTTCCCTGTCCCAGCAGCCAGGCATGTGTCACCCGTGTCACCCACCGGCTGTGGCTCTGTCCCTGCTGCCTGGCACAGAGGGGCCCGTGGGTGCCTGGCAGGTGGGGCAGGACGTCCTCCTCAGGGTGCTGTGCCGGGGCTGCCGGGGGGCATCGCCTCCCCCAAATCCAGCTGTGGAGAGGGGAAATCGGGAATGTCCCGTGCAGAGCCAGCCAGGGATGGTTGGGAAGAGCTGAGGGGTTCAGGGGGGGCTGAGAGATGGGAGGGGTGGCTTTCTCTGAAGGGAAAGGGGGCTGGGGACAGTTCCTGGTGACACCAGGGACCCCAGGGTACCCCAGGTGTTTCTGCCCACACTGGCACAGACAAACACAGATGCCAAGTAAGGTTCGACCTGTGCAGGACCCACACGAGGTCAGGGCATCCCCAGGGATGCCCAGGTTGGTCCCCTTGGGGGACAGTGGGGTCTGGCCAAGGGACAGTGGGGAGCGCCTCAGGCCATGAGGAATGGGTTTGTCTGTCCCCTCCCTAATTAATTATTAATTAATTAAGGTCATTAGTAGCCATTAGGAGTGGTAGGGAAGGCTGGAAGGGGCTGGGGGCCACTCACCTGATGCCATCCTGCTCCTGTGACATCGGGGACACCCCGAGGTGCCCGGCTCTCCTCGGGGTGCCGGGGTGGCGCGTGGTGTCCCCGCCTGGTACCGTGTCCCTGCCAGACCCCAGCGTGAGCATGGCCAGGGTCCCCACGGTGAGGATGGCCGCCTTCAGCCCCACCACCCAGTGCCACCAGCACTCACCTGTGTACTGTCCCCGAAGTGTCACCGGCTCCGGGAGCTTCCCAAGGTGTTTCCGCAGGGCGGGGGGTGCCCGGGCCCCGGCGGGGCAGGGCTCTGACTCGGAGGCTGCGGCAGAGGATGGGGAAGCTAGGTGGGATCCGCTGGAGCCGAGCTCTGGACCTGCAGGACCCGCCCTGGACTGAGCACTGAGGGGTCCATGGGGCCACCAGGACCTGGTGCCCGCGGTCCTGCAGCCCCAGAACATCCCGCTGTATTTGGGGAGGGGACGTGTCCCCTCTGTCCCCACCCTGGTGCGGTCACATTTACCGAGCTCCAGCTCTGGCCTGTCCCGGGGCAGCGATGCCGATCTCTCCCTCCTCCTGGCTGTGACCCCGGGGGCCACCCTGCCCCGCACCGAGGGGCTCGGGTCCCTGCAGAGGGGACAGAAATGCTGTCACCACCCGCTCCCAGCCGGCTGGCAGTGCCCTCGTGCCAAACCCCTCCCTGGTCACAGCAGAGATGGGGACATGCTGAGGCCGGGGGTGTCCCCCCTCTGTCCCCCACACCCCTCAGGGATGCCACCTACCCCGAGGGTGCTGCGTCCTGAGGGGACGATGTTCCGCTGGGCCCCGGCTGCCTCCTGGCCGGGGTGGCTCGGGGAGCGGCTTTTCCCTCGGGATAGCTGCGGGAGAGGTGCAGGCTCTCCTCCAGCCTCCGCCGCAGCCGCCACACCTCGTCCTGCAGCGCCCGGATGGCCTGGCTGCCCCGGGACAGAGGTGACACTGAGGGGGGGCTGCAGCCAGCAGGGACCCCAGCGGTGCTGGGTGTCCTGGGGGAGATCAGCAGCCCCCCCCAGATCCCACATCCCCACCACCAGCCCTGCAGCTCTGACGCTCCCCCAAACCAAGCCTGGGGCAGTGTCCAGTGGGTGACTTTGGGGGGTCCCTGTGTCACCCGCGGGGGTCTGGCCTGGTTTGGGGCGGTGGGGACACAGCCACTCACTCTCGCTGCAGACGGGAGCCCAGCAGGTCACAGTGAGCCGGGTCGAGGGACGACAGGTCGGGGGACAGGAGGGTGGGGGATGGCGTTTCGGGGGATGGCAGGGGGCTGCTTGGGCTCCTGGCCATGGCTGGGGGGTGGTCACCGGCGCTGGCACAGCTCCTGTCTCCCACCTCCGAGTCCGAGTGAGCTGGGAAGAAGGGGAGCACAGAGAGCTGAGATCAGAGAGCAGAGATGGGGACACACCTGCCTCCAGGGAGGGTGACACCAGCACACCGGTGACACCAGCATCACATTGACCTCTGGAAACCCCATAAACCAGAGCCACAGAGGCAGGGTCCCCCCAGATCTCTCTCCCTGGTCAAGTCCCGCGTACTCACTGCCATCAGCGTCGGGGTCCGGCCCCACCTCGCTGCCCGCGCTCTCGGCCCAGCGAGGAGGGGAGCTGCTCTGTGAGGGGCTGCTGGGGGGCAGCCGGGGCCCCCCTGTGCCCCCCGAGGGGTAGATGCCCATCAGGGCTGTCTCAGAGGGAAGTGGGGTGTTCTCTCTCTTCCGAGGCGTACGGAGGCTGCTGGGGATGGGGACGGAGGGTCCCAGCGGAGTCCTGGGGAAGGGACGGGTCATGCGGGCAGCCCCCAGGGTGAGCACAGGGTCTGCACATCTCCAGCCCCGCCAGAACCCTGCTCCCCACACCCCCAATGCCTCTCCCGCCATCCCTGCTCCTCTTAAATCCTCCAGATCCCGCAGGCAGAGCGGAATTCCCGCAGGCAGGACCGCGGACCGTACCCCGGGCCGGGGGGATGGTGCTCGGGGGTGTGCACGGGCGGGGACACCCTGCTGGCCTCCGAGCCCACGAAGCCGCTGTCGGTCTCCGGGGACACGATGCGCTGCTCCTGCAGAGGCACGGGGAGGGCAGGATGGGTGCCCAGCACCCCGGGAGGCTCTGGGGGTGCTCTCAGCTGGGGACCCGCAGGGACAGGGACTCACCTTGTGGGACCCGTGCTGGGTGGCAGCGCTGCCTGTCCCGCTGCTGCGGAGGGACAGGGGAACCTGTGGTGGCCCAGGGACCACCAGAGGGGGCTTGGCAGAGGCTGGTGGCTCCTCAGCAGTGGCAGGGGAGGGGTGGCCCCGTGTCTCCCCCAGGTTTGGGGATCCTCTGGGGGAAAGCGTGGCAGCTCTTCTCTCCGGGAGGTGCCTGTGGGGAGGGGATGGAGCAGGACTGATGGGGCAGAGTAACCCCAGCCGTGGGGAAATGTCCTGCTCCAGCTGTCCCATGGACGCCGTTAACTGAGGTAAAACTGGAGACTCTGATGGCAAACCTCCTGCTCACCCCTGCTGGGGGACTCGACAGCACTTACAAGGGCAAGGTCTCGAGGTTGGGCCCCTCCTCGAGTGACCGTGTCCTGCCAGGGACCTTGCTGGCGCCACCGTCCCCTGCGGTGGGTGCATCCACCTCCTCCTGGGACCCGCTCTCCGCCAGGCTCAGCTGCTCCAGGCTCAGCAACTCCGGCAAGGACTTCAAGTGTTTGTACCTGTGGGACCCGCGGGCAGGAGCGGGTGGGTTTGGGGACATGCTCCGTGCCCGTGTCCCCCCTGCCCCGCTGTGAGGGCACTCACTGCTCCAGCAGGTCCCCAAAATCCTCCTCCACTCGGCGCTGCTTGTGCCAGAGGGGCCAGGGCAGCCCCCCTGCCACCCCCTCGTTGTCCCCCGCTGTCCCCCGAGGACCCTCCACCAGCGCAGGGCTCTGTGGGCACAGCAGTAAGGGGTGAGAGAGGAGACCCCCCCTAAATGCAGCGGGGTGGGGAACCCTCGCACCCCCAGCTCACCTCGGGGTGCGGGGAGCGTGAGGCGGGCGGTGGGGACGGGGCTGGGGGGCAGCGGGGCTGCGGGGGGGGCTGAGCGAGGGGCTGCCGCCTGTCCCCCGGCTCCAGCCGCTCCTTCAGCCCCTCCAGGCGCAGCCCCAGGCGGTAAATCTCCCCTTCCACCGCCCTGCAAGACACCAGCCATCAGTGCGGGGGGACAGCGACGCCCGGGGACTCTCCGGGGGCTCTGGGGCAGGGACCGAGCACGTACCGGTCAGGATCAAACCCCCCCGCAGCCTCCGGGAGCTGCTGCCGGCCCCGCAGGTATTCCCGCTCCAGCGCATCCTGCGCGTCCTTCAGCATCCTCATCCTCTGCGGCACAAGGGTGCGGGGTCCGAGCCTGTCCACTGCAGCCCGGGCACCGCCACCCCCCGTGCTCCTGCCGCCCCCCCGGCTGGGCTCCGGGAAGGGGCTGACGTACCTGGAGCTGCTCCGGGGCTGGGAGGGTCCCTGCACGCGTCCAGCTTTCGAAAGCTTCCACCTGGCCGGGATCGCACGGGCTGAGGCCGGCCCTGCTGTAGCCCCCGCTCCGCACCCCTTAGACCCCCCCCCATATGGAGCATCCCCTTCCTTCCTTCCTTCCCAGCTCCTTCCCAGCACCCCACAACGCTTCCCCTCCCCCAATCCCTACAATCCAGAGCCCCCCGCATTTGTCCCCAGCACCCTCTGCAGCGCCTCCCCAGCCTATCCCTACAGCCCCCCCAGGATTCCCCCCAAATCTCCTCCCTGCTGCCCCACCTTTGCAGCCCTCACACCCTCCTGCCCCACCAGCCCTTCTCCATGGAGCCCCCCTCCTCACCTGTGCCTGCAGCCTGCGGCTCTGCCCCGCCAGTGCCCGGGTGAGCCGGGGCCCGGGGCAGCAGCACGGCCCGGGGCAGGTGGGGCAGCCCCCCCCGGGCAGAGGAGGGGAGCGAGGTTGGGGTGAACCATCCGGCTCTGACGGTCCCGGGGCTGCAGCGGCGAGAAAACACGAGGACAAGTGACACGGCAGCCGCGTGGGGAAGGGGCTGTGGGGGAGCGTCCCCCAAAAGCGGTCCAGGAGGGCGGTGAGCCGGCCAGGGGACATGGATCAACACACCTGCACCTGGCGAGGCCGGGGCTGTGGCCGTGCCGAAAGCCGCTGTCCGTGCCTGCGGGATGCTGAGGGTCATCACTCGGCTCCCGGTGGCCACGGTGCCCACGGCGAGGCTGCGGCTGGGCTGCGGCGGCTCGGAGAACAGGCTCACCTGGGCAGGGGGAGCGGGTTTGGGCAGGCAGCCCGCACCCCGAGCCGCCCACCGTGCCCCGGGGCACCCTGAAGCACCTCACGGGCACGGCAGGGGGGTGGGGTGAAGGTGGGGACACGCGTGGGGGGTCGGCTGGCACAGCCCTGCCTCAGTTTCCCCACCCACGCACAGGGCACAGGGCGGGAGGTGGCAGAGGTGACACGGGGACGCGCTTCCGCCCGTAGCCCTGCCATCGCAGGGACGTGTCCCGACATTCCAGGGACAATCCGGCTCAGCCGCCGCCCTGGCACAGAGGGGACCCTGCCAGGAGAGGGGGGCGCAGTGGCCCCCAGGCTGCTGTGGCCTCAACCCCCGCTCTCCCCGGGCTGGGACCGCTCAACCGCAACTCCCCGGGAGGAGGAAGAGGAGGAAGACACAAGAAATAACCTCAGGGAGGGGGGAGCAGAGGGGGGTACCCCCTCCCCCAGGCATCCTGAGCCCCCACCCACCCTGGCGCCCAGGCGCAGCTGGTCGATGGTGTTCTCAGCCTCGGCGTACTTGGTCAGCAGCTTGTGGTAATCGTCCTGCGGGGAGGGGACACCAGTGGGTGCCAGCACCCGGCACGGGGGAGGCCCGAGGGGTGGGTGCACAAACCCCCTTTCCAAAGCACACAAAGCTGTGCAGATGTGACCCCCGTTTCTCTGCGCGGGGAGAGCCCCCCTCTCCTCCCAGGGGGACAAACACCCTGAGGGTGACGAGCTTTGGGAGGGTGACCGCCATCCCGGGGGGACATGAGCATCCAGCCTGAGCGCTGCTCCTTCCTTCCTTCCTACCGGGAAGGGGTGACCAGCACCAAACCCCCACTGGTGTCCCAGAGACAGCGACACCCCCGTTTCCCCCGCAGACCCTCTCTGGCTGAAGCGGGGGGAGCTGAGCGGTACCTGGAGCTGCTGCACCAGCGCCGTGGCTTGTCTGGGCGACCTGAACTCCTGCGGCAGCCCGGCCGTGCTGGGGGGCTGCGGGGACACCCCCTCCCCGCTGCTCAGCAGCACCTCCCGGACGATTTCTGCCGGGGATTTGAAGCCGATGGGGCCGCCGGGGCCGCGGGGGCGGGCGGGCAGCACCCGGCCCCGGGGTGGGCGATAGCTCTGGTCGAACTTCACCCGCGCCTCCACCTTGGAGAGGTCGGGCAGCGGGTGGTTGAGGCGCCCTCGGCCGTACTGGGTGCCCTCGGTGCCCGTTCCCGGGGGATCCCTCGTCCCCTTGCCACCCGTTCGCCTCCGGGGGCTCAGGGACCGCGACTGCCGGGTGGGCTTGGGAGGCACCACCGCGGGCGCTGCTTTCTTGGGCACTCGGGATCTGTCGTGCCCTTGGAGTGCCGAGGGATTCCCGGCGCCCTGGGGGTGCCTGGTGGGTGCCAAGCCGGCGGTACCGGGGGCTGGCATCCCTGTGCCAGCTTTCTGGGGCTCGGGGACACTCTCGGGGCTGGGGTCAGCGGTGGAGAGGTGCAGGGGGAGGCTCCGTCTCGGGGTCCACTCCTGCCTGTGCCCCCCGATGGTGTCCCCGGCCGTGTCCCAGCCCCGGGGCTGGCGGGACGGGGTGGCAGGGCCAGGGCTGGTGTCCGACAGCCCCGAGGTGTCCCCCCAGTCCGTGCTGCAGCCCCGGGGCTGGAAGAGAGCCCGGCTGTCCCTCAACGCCTCGAGGCTGTCGCTGGAGCCCGAGCCCCAGCGGCCCCTCGGGGACAGCTCGGGGTAGGGCTCCCCATCGCTCTCCGCCCCCCAGGTCCCCTCGTCCCCCCCGGAGCTGCCCCGCTCCTCATCCTCCTCGGCCGGGTCCTGCCGCGGGTGCCAGCTCCCCTCCTCTGCCGGGGACCCCTCCTCCAGGTCCTCACTGTCACCTGCAAAACACCGGCACCGCTGTCGCCACCCAGACCCAGCCGGTGTCCCCGGTGTCCCCTCCCAGCCCCCCTTGGCTCCAGCGGCTCCCGGGACATTTGGGACCACCCCTTTAGGGCAGGAGGGAGGGCAGGACTCACCCCACGGTGGGCTCCTGGCACCCTCCCCCAGGCCGATGACCCCATCCTCGTCCATCCGCTTTTCAAAGTCGTCTTCCTCCTCCTCCTCCTCCTGCTCGGCCTGCGGGCGCGGCAGCTCTGTTTGTGTCCAGCGCAGCCATGGTGCCGGGCTGGCCATGGCCACGGGCCCGTCACTTGTGTCGCTTCATGGCCCGGCGGCGGTGGCGGCGGGCTGGGGACCTCCTTGTCGCGAATGTAGGTCACAGCATCGCCGCCGCGTCCTGGGGGGGCCGGGGGAGAGGGAGGGATGCTCAGCGGGACATGGTGGGCTCTGTTTGAGGTGTCTCCCCCACGCTGGCAGGGTCCTGTCCCCCAAATCCCGGGCCAAGAGCAAACCCCAATGATGGGGGGGACACCCTCGGATCGGACAACCCCGCTGTGAATCCCACCACGAAATCTCCCTGCCACATCTCCCCCAGCCGTGGGGTCCTCGTGGGGAAGGAGCCCCTCAGGGCCACCCCAAAAATTCTGTCCCCCCCTGGGGACATCCAGCTCATCCCTGTGGATGTCACCGTGTGGATGTCACCCCAGCTGGGGACCACTAGCAATGCTGGGGAGGCAGGAGCACCCCAAAGACCGCTCTGGATGTGGGGGCTGACAGAGAGAGGGATCACAGCAGACACACAAATTCCACTGATGATCCCAAAGCATGAGCTTCCCCCTCACCCCCACCCGGGGTTTCCATCAGCAGCCGGAGAAATGCCGGATGCCAAAACCCCAAATGTGGGGTGTGGCAAGAAAGGCCACGGGGTTTTCCAACCAACGTCCCCTCTCCTGGATTTGAGCCCCATCAGCCCGAATTTTGGCCTGGGGGGCCAAACCAGGCACCTCCAGCCCCATGCAGGGGACACTCACCCTCTACCAGCATCCCCAGAGCATCCCCATCATCGTGACCCCATGGGGAGTCCTTCTGAGCACCCCAAAACCTTCTTGTGCCTGTGAGGCAGACGAGCTTTTACAGAAGGAGGAAATGATGTTTCCTGCAAGTTTGCAGGTGGCCACAAAAGTTTTAACCCCATCCAGCCCTGCGCAGTGGGGGCTGAACCCTTCTCCCGCAGCGTTTTCCATCAAAACCTTTATTTTTTAATCCAGTTCAGAGCAAAATGCTGTAGGAAGAGAGGGGAGGGAGATCCCTGGGACCACCAGCAGTTGGTCCAAAAAACATCAGCATGAGGATCTTCCACCAGACCTAAAATGAAGCTTTAAAACCCCAAAATTCAGGCAGGTTGACCCCATCCTTGGAAACTTTCCCAGATTTCCAAAGGGAAGGTCCAGCTGGCCCCATCCTGGGGTGTTGCTCACAGTCCTGGGGATGTTGTGGCTGTACCCAGGCGCTGTCTTGGCACATCCACAGACAGCCAATTAAGCCAGCTTGTTACTGGGTAATTAGTGGCACGAAGAAGACAGTTTGATGGGCTAATGAAACCACAGAACAGTCCCTGGGGTGGCTGCTCTTAGCCAGAGGGTGCTGCGGTGATTTTGGGGTGCTGCTGGCTTGGGGATGGTGGTGAAGAGGACTAAACCTATCCACAGCACCCACATGCTCTGGGAAAAGTCCTCTCATCCACTCCCAAGCCTCAGATCTGCAGATTCCTTGGGTGTTTGTGAGGTCTGAGGTTATTTTCCAGCCCCACCTGTCATCAAGGGCATCATCCTTGCACTCCCAGTTCTGCCTGCATCCTTGGGGCATTCCAGGCAGGAGCAAACCCCAAAGCATCCCTTAGGGTCTTGCAAACCTCCTGGGGGCTTTGCATGAGGTTTTTTCCCCCATACACTGAGTGGATAACTCCATTCTCCACACCTGGAGATGCTCCACAGCTTCTCCTGCCACTGGGGAGGACGGGGCTGCCCAAGGGATTCCTCAGACCCTGAGCTACTGAACCCAAAGAGGGATTTTAGCTGGGATGTTTCCAGCCCCAAGACCGTACACATATCCCAGAGATCCTCACCAAAGTGCCTCCCATCCCACCTCGAGCCCTGCAGGATCCCAGGGTGATGAGGAGCCCCAAACACCACGCCCAGGATTCCCAGAGGGAGAGTTCTGGGTGAAAGGAGCTTGGGATAAAGGGTGTTAAAACATTCCCAACCCATTTCTGGTGTTTCTTTAGTCCCATCCCTGCCAATGGATGGGGATTTTGCATCTCCTGAAGGAGGCCATGCCTAACCCACGTGCCACTGGCTGTCACCCCATTTCTTCAGCTTGGTTCCCACGTGCACAACCCACTGCAGCTGCAGTCTGCAGGATCCACTTCCAAACCCAGCCACATTTATTGCCTTCCCAGAAAGGCCCTCTGCTGATGGTCACGGTGGCAAGAGTAACAAATCTCACATTCTTTTCCCCCCTCTAAGTGATTTTCTCACTGTTATGGGAGCACAGAAAAGCTTGAAAAATGATGTGGCTTCGTGCTCAGCAGCCACAAATCAAACAGAAACAATCCCAAATGTGCAGAAATATATCCATGTATTTAAATTCTCCTCTCTGAAAGCCAGGATTTTTGCAACAGGCAACCGGAAAAAGAGCTAGAAAAGAAATTTAAAAGCCTCAGCTAGAAAACCCTGAACCATACTCTGCATCAGCTCCTCAACCCTTCCTGCCCTACAAGCCTGGGCTGTCCCAAATCGTGGCTCAGGGCAGAGGTGCTGAGCTGAGGGAGGGATGCTCCCAGCAGTGCTGCCTGTCCTTGCCCGCAGCTCCAAACCCCCCGATCCTTTCGGCAGGCAGAGATCCCATCCCTATCCCACCCCCTGTCCCCTGGGAAAGACGGAGGAGCGAGGCTGAGCCCGCCCAGCTCATTACACGTGTGGGGCAGGGAAGCAGCAGCAATCAAGGCCAGCACGAAGCCATCGCGGCTCCTGGGGTTTATCGGCGGTGACAGCAGAGGAGACAGGAGCATCCTCCGCCCCAGGGCTCGCTCGGTGACAGGGAAGGGGGGGACAGGGCTGCTGTCACTCTGCCTTCACTGCCTTGTCAGCCCCGGGCAGAGCTGGGGGGATGGGGGGCTCTAAACCCCACACCCTACATCCCCTGAGCGATGTGGAATCACCCTCCTCCCCCGTGTCCCAAAAATCGCTTGCCTGCCACGGGTTAAAGCCCCTCCTGCACATCTGTGCCTGTCTGGGATGCAGGGGGGGCTTAACCCCCGTCCCAGGCAAGGGATGGATATTTTGCATCTCTTTTGAAGGTTTTTGGAGGTTTGAAGGAAGCCAGAACGGCCTGGGGCCGAAACTTGGCAAGGGATGTCTGCACTCCAGGAGGGAGAAATTCCTCGTGTATAAACCCTTTTTTAAAGCCCACAGAGCCCCGTTTTTATAGGCATGAAAGAGGGCAGAGAAGCGGAAACGCTGCGTTCTTAGTTCGCATTATTTCCTACTAGAACAAGGGCGGGACCATCACAGTGAGCCTGACAAACCTCCCTGGTCCTCTGAAAGCACACGCGTGTCACCATCACTCCAAAGCCCACGTGTCACCCCAGTTCCAGCAGCTGGAGGGGCCATGTGCCCCCCCCAGCCCCCCATACTGGCACCAAAACCCCGTGGAAATGTCATTTTTCCATCACCTGCACAGAATCAAAGCCTCACGGCAGGACAGCTCCTCTTTCCCACCTCCTCCCCGGCACACGGAACCTCCTGTCCTCGCTGGGGACACCGCAGGGCTGAAGCCCCCACACCCGCAGCCCCGGGTGGCCCTAATGCCCTGAAGGACAGCCTTAATCCCCGTCTGGAGAGCGCTGCCGCTGTCCCCGAGCCACAGCCGGTGGCACCCAGATCCCTTCTTAGCACAGGGGACACGGCCGGCCAGATTGTGCTGGGCTGAACCAGCTTCTCCGGGCAGCCACGGCCCCGACCTCTCACAGCAAAGAATTTCCTCCCAGTATCCCACCTAACCCTGCTCTTGGTTAGTTTGAAGCCATTCTTTATGTCCTGTCCCTCCATCCCTTGTCCAAAATCCCTCTCCAGCTCTGGAGCCGCTGGGAGCGGCTCTGAGGTCTCCCTGAAGCTTTTTCATCCCCGGCCGCGCTCTCCGGCTGCCCTTGAACATTCCGAAGCGATTTCAGCCGTGCCCGGAAGGTACCGAAACGCTGCGGCTGAGCACGGGACACCCGCGGGCTCCCACCGGCTGCCAGGAGCACGGCTGCCCTTTAAATAAAACACGGAACTGAAGCCGAACGCTGCCCCGGCCACTTCCTCGGAGGAACCGGCGGCAGCTCCGGGCCCCGCAGGCTCCGCCGAGCCCCGGCCGTGCCTCCGCGCCGCCTCCGCAGCCCCTGACGAAACTCTCCCGGAATCCTCCGGCCCCGGCCGGGAGGAGGCACCGCCAGAAAGAAAAGTTATGGCAAGTTTCCTCGGGGCCACGAAGGCTGCGATGGCGTGGGGAGGACACGCCTCGGCCAGGAGCGGTGTGTCCCGCATCCTCCCGGCGCGTCCCGCATCCTCCCGGTGTGTCCCATGCCCTCGGCCGCAGGGACCCCGCCGGGGCTGGGGGTTCCCCCGCTCCACCCAGGGACCCCAAGCAGCTCCCGGCTGCGAGCCAGCCCTGCCCGAGCGGGGCTCAGCAGAGCCGGGAGCTCTGGATGCGGCCCCGGGATGGGGCCCGCTGGTTGTGCCTCCAGCTCTGCCTCCGGGGGCCCTCTCCTTCCTTCCAGCTGCAGCGGGCGGCTCGCAGGGAGCAGCCGAGCCATTCCCACCTCTCCCCGGGCACAGCTGGGGCACAGCTGGGGCACATCTGGCCCGAGGGCATCGCTGGAGAAGCGCCCTCGGCCCCGCGCGTTGCCCACCTGTAGGGAGGGCCCGGCCGGCGCCTCCTCGGCCGGCGCTGGGCGGCTCCGGTTCTGATCCCGATCCCGGTCCCAGTTCTGGTCCCTGTTCTGATAACGGTCCCGGTCCCGGTCCCGGTCCCGATCCCGATCCAGCCCCGGCCCGGCCCCGCCGGACAAAAGCGCGGCCCGCGGCGCCAGGGGGCGTGGCCTCCTCTCATTAGCATACCCGCCGCGCTCCGCCAATCCGAGCTCGGAGCGGGAGGTCGTTAGCATAAACCCCGCCCACCCCTCATTTGCATGCCCCGCTGCTGGCAGCCAATCAGAGGCGCGGCTGAGGGGGCCTCATTGGCATAATTTATGCAGCGCGGGCACCCCCTGGCGGGGCGCTGCCCATTGCCGGGATCCCGTGGGATGGGATGGCATGGGATGGGATCCATGGCATGGGATGGGATCCATGGCATGGGATGGGATGGGATGGCATGGGATGGGATGGGATGGGATGGGATGGGATCCATGGCATGGGATGGGATCCGTGGCACGGGATGGGATCCATGGCATGGGATGGGATCCATGGCATGGGATGGGATCCATGGCATGGGATGGGATCCGTGGCACGGGATGGGATCCATGGCATGGGATGGGATGGCATGGGATGGGATGGGATGGGATCGGTGGCAAGGGATGGGATCCATGGCAGGGGTTGGGGTCC